AATACATTGTTATTGTTAAATAAATATCGTCAAATAATTGAGATCTCAATTTCAGTGAAAATAATCGTGATTATCATTTTTGCCATAATCGAGCAGCCCTACATTGGTGTATAGATGCATATAGCTATGTGTCAAATAATGCAAACTTTCATACATGTGAATGTGTGTGTTGTATTAGGAATAGAGAGTTTGGCTATAAACACGGTCATTTCTGTTGCTGTCAGCCACAATAAAGATGGATATTTTAAAGAGGGACTTTATCAATATCAAACGGTGCTGCTTGGTTTCAGCTGCTGGCATATTTGTGCACAAGCTCTTCTTTGCTGGTGACAAACCTGTGAAATGAGCTTTGCACACAGCAAGAGACTAACACTGACATGGTCACCAGAGAGGGTGGAAGAAAATTCAGCGACCTGTTACACGTGACGTTATGCTAATGCAAAGTGGGCGAGGCTGGAATTACTGTTTGCTTCTCAACTTTAAAGCAGCTTATTGGAGCTACTACCAAGGGAGTGAAGGAAAGCACAGATGGATATAAGATTAGGTGGAAGACAGATCTATGTAATCAGAGTTTGTGTTCTTTACAGTGACCATCTATCAACTTCAGAGTGAAGCACGACTAGTAAATCATTTAATATATGCACAGGGCTTTATACCACCACTGCCCCTTCACCCACTATCTTCACTGATGATAGATATCTGAAAGAAATCCACAATAAACATTACTTTCTCAGTTTGTACCTTCTAGAATTTGTCTCTAACTGCGTCTGCAGGAAACGGTTACAGCGGCTTTAAAAGGAAACAGAACAAGAAGCTGATGAAATGAAAGTTTTCTGAAGTCTAAACTGGACTTGTTTTCTCGTCCTGTGGCAGCACGGTGACGTCAGCAGTGTTCACAGTGGGAGATAACGTGGTGTCTGGGAGCGACGATCGAACCGTCAAAGTGTGGGACCTGAAGAACATGAGGTCGCCCATAGCAACCATCCGCACAGACTCTGCAGTCAACAGGTGTGTAAACCTCTTTATATTTATGTCATTAAACTATAGACTACACAGGTCTACTAAAAATCTACAAATGTATTTATAAGGGAGCAGAATTGAGCTTAAAAGGCTCAGTTTTAAATGTCACAAACATACGCTTCCCTGCTCTTTCAAATATGAATGTGATTTGGCTCTGATAAAGCCTGACCCTGTGTTCCCTGTTTACTCCTTTCAGGATCAGCGTGTCGGTGAACCAGAAAATCATCGCTCTTCCTCACGACAATCGGCAGGTCCGGCTGTTTGACATGTCCGGGGTGCGACTGGCTCGACTCCCACGAAGCAACAGACAGGTGAGTGCGAGATTTACCATTTAAACAAAACACAAAGACTAAACCTCCACTAAAAATTTAAGCCACAGAAATAAAAATGAAAACGTTCCAGTGCAGCCTCTTGAAATTTAACAGGAGGTGGTCTAAATAAATACAAATGTATCCAGTCTGTTGGATATATAATGTTTTAGAGGTAAATTTTCATAGTGGGGTTTATTCTAATGTGAGCCTTGAATTTATTATGTCACTTAAACTGAAGTAAACTTCGAGATTTTTATTTTTTTCCACTTTATTCTTAATCATTGCAGATGTGAGACATTCTAGCATTTAACCCAGAGTTGAATGTACTGATTTATTTAGATTTATGTGGCAATTTTATTTATTTAGCACATATTATTATACTTAAACTCAATATGCTTAACACAGAAGATAAAAACATAAAAACCCATGTAGGCTGAAGATTTCCCTTTGTCAGTATGTGATGTAGTGTAAGGAAAGCTTCTGGGTATAGAGTTCATATATTGTTTATTAGATATTATATATATTCCTCTTCCTCCCCTCACCTCCAGCCAGTCATGGCAGTTGGCGTTTCCTCCCTGATGCTGGTTCTGCTGGAGGTTTCTTTCTGTTAATTAATTATGATTTGGTGCTATATAAATAAAATTGAACTGAATTGAAAATGTAGCTGTAGCTTTTGGGTCTTAAAAGTTAAACCAATAACTGTCTTAAACTTGCTTTTTTCCTAATGCACAGCAGGCGACTCTTGAGGGGAAAAAAGTGATTGTTTATAAGTTTAGAACAAAATTCCTTCTAACTTGGACTAAACCTGCATTTTGTCATCTTAACATTATCAGGAAAAATATTTGTTTACTGCTTAAGAACAAGGATGCTCAGGATCCACGTCAAAGTGAAAGTGTCACCCTCACAGCTGCCGCGTCTTCTGTTTTATGATTTAGGGTCACCGGCGCATGGTGTGCTGCTCCGCTTGGTGTGAAGACAACACCACCTGCAACCTGTTCACCTGTGGCTTCGATCGGCAAGCCATCGGCTGGAACATAAACATCCCCGCTCTGCTGCAGGAGAAATGACCTCCTCCTGCTGTCACCTTACAGGGAAATGCCACCAAAAGTCTGTTTGGAGTATCAAACACTGAAACCTTTGAGTGGGGTTAAAAGGCGGCCGGAGAAAACTTTTGTCTCGTACCTTTGTGTCGATGAAAAGTTGTCTCATGTTGTAATGTACGGGATGAAATTCCTGTCGTTTCCAGCAGCCGTCTTTTGAGCCCACGGGGGGGTCGGTATTTGTACTCGATGTCCTTCGAGCTCTGTTCTCCTCCTTTGTTTGGGGTAGAGCAGAAAAAGGCCTTGCACTTGCTGTCTACTCCCATCTGTCACGCTCACTAAATCACCGCTGCCAAAATATACAAAACACATTTGTGGTCTTTACGTGGAAGTGATTTAACATCTGGAAAAGAGAAAAAAAATCCTGTGTATCTCTAATGAAAAAAGCACACGAGCTTCTTCTTTGCCGCGAACAAAAACGCATTCTGTTAATGCTAAATCAGATCTGTGACGTGCTGACGTTTCTGCTTGATGCTGATTTAAAATACAATACTAGAAATCTAGTCTGTGCCACTAACAGCAGATTCATGCTGGACAAAGACAGCGGTCTGCTGCTTTAAAGGAAAAATCCACTCATTTTATATTATTAATTTTTCCTGTTTAATACACTGCAAGAGTTACATCAATGAAAACTTATTTGTGAAACTTGTTGAAGCCCTCACTGCTGGAAAGCTTGAGTCTCATGTTCTGCACTGGGATCTAACAAAGCGTTCATTTTCAGTATTCAGTATTATATTTGACTTTTTATTTTTTTTCGTTTTTCTTGGAAACTGAAATAAGTTTCCGAACATTTTGTTTGGCTCCTGGCTCTGTCTGTAGCTCGCATAATAAATGAAAACCAATAGTTATGAGAGTGTAACTGAGGACCAGTAAGCTACAACACAGGCTGTAAAATGCCGCTTGTCGGTGAGCTATCATGAAACTTTAGCAAGTAGCTAACACTTTTACAAGAGTAACTGGTACTGCAGCAAAACATTACACTACTCCACATAACCAACTGCAGTTGTCTGTTTGAACTATAGACTGTATATAAAAGATGCATGTAGCCACTGTGATGTCACTCATTGGTTTTAGATGAGCGTATTAGCGACGGTTGCTCGGAGCCACCGTGTTGGTATCCAAACGGCACCAACATGGTATCGATGTCCAGTACAGTGACCTGTGTTGCAATACATGTCAGATAAAGTGGCCACACCTCCAATTTTGAGGCTAACAGTAAGCAAATGGATGGATATAGGAAAAAAAAATCTGTGTAGAGTTGTTATGGGGAGGAAACTATGTACTAGGCTATAAGCGTTTTTCGTGCCACGCTATAAACAGGCTCTTTAATGCAATAAAGTTGGGCATCTTAACACAGCGCTCTTTGTGAATTCACTCACTTTTGGAGCTAGCCTCAAGTGGACAGTAGTGGAACTGCAGGTTTGAGCACATCTTCAGTTTTTAGCTCTAAAAGTTGCTACTTATTGTTTATGGATATTAA